ATGTGTATGTTTATCAAAGATGCAGGTCGAAAATAGATCAATGCAATGATGCCAAATAAATGCAAAATCTTTCAAAGCATCAAACATATTGAAATTTTATCAATGCAGTGTTGCCACACAAATGTACTCTATCAAAGCATCAACCACAAGTATTGAACTTGCGACGCGCTCACGCATATAACTATCAAAAATAGACTATTATGGTAAGGCCGTATTCCCTTGCGCATACGTCCGAGCATTGCAACGGAAAGCGCTGGCGCACGCGTCCAAGAAATGCTCCATAAATACATAGAAACGAAATGAAAAATGTGGACCCAGGGTCGGTCGCTATAAACAAATTCGAAATGATTCGAGGCTGTCTTCGGTGGACCATGCGGAATTCGAACCCGCGACCGACGGCGTCGGAATTGCTTAATGGTACATGCCCCAAGACGAAATCAACATATATTAAATAATTGGATTATTTCTTGTATTTAAAAATCGAAATATATAAAATAATCCAATTATTTGGGAGAAGGTCCGAACCACGACGGAAGCCGTAGACCAAGACTAAATATAAAAAATCATCCAATTAGTTCGATTATTTTGCTTCAAACATCCGTATATGTTTGCTCGATCGCATCCCAATTTTAGTATTTCTAATAATATATAATTTAAAATCGATTCCATATTTCAATTTTAAAATCATATATATAATCGAATATATTTTGTTTAAAATTTAAATTATTTTTTTTATAACAATATTATATTTATTTGATTTGTATATTATAATATATAGTAATATTATAAATTCATAATATAATATTATAGATTAAATTATTATATATTCTTTAAATATTTTATATATAACCCTAGAAGTCCAAAGACTATTTTCGGCACCACCCAAGTAAAAGAAATTCCTTTTCGAATCACCTAAACACCATTAAAAAAAAAAAGATCTTGCATTCCCAAGGTATAATATATAAAATTCAATTATATAAATTATATTAAATTATACATAATCGAATCGATTAATTCCATTAATTAAATTAATTTTAAAATATTTCAACTATATATATATGTTTTTTTTTTTCCAATCGATTTATAAATAAAAAACATGATTTCAAATATATTCTTTATTTCGAATAATTGTTTATTTAGAATATATTCGAAATATTTATTTATATTTTTCAAAAATTCAAATTAAATCTTAATATATTTATAGATAAATCTATTTGGAAATTTGAAATGGAATTCAATTGTGGCATTACCCTAAGGGGGATGATTTCAAAAATGAACCAATTATATTTTTGAGGCACGGTGGGGCGCTTACTTCTTTTAATCCCCCCTAAGTATGTGTTTGTCTGATTTTGTCTTGCTGTCTCAGGATGCAGGGAATACATGGGTTATGTGAGAAAGTTTGACCTCACAAATTGTAACTTACATTTTTGCTACATGCCCACTTCCCCCAGAATTTACAAGGAATTGGGGTGTCCCCCTGAGTTAGTTACATTTTTGCATACTGAAAATCACACACCAGCGACTCCACGAAGCGCAAGCAGGGGGCAAGCAACCAGGGGATCAAACAGCATTGAATATCCTTGTTCTCCTGCACAATAGAACAGGCAGCTGTGCGAGATTAGAATGACCTCTCCTTTGTTGCGTAGCATGTGGATGATCCTCTGTTATGTTTGGGTTTCGCTTTGTTGCCTTCCTTTGGGGTCTTGAGTGGGAACATGTATGTTCCTGTTTCTTGGCAGTTTGCCCTGGGTGTGTTTCCTGTTCTTCTTTGTTGATGATGACTTAGACCAACTGCTGCTCCCTCATCTTTGCTTTCTAGCAAGGGACAAGCAAAGAGGGCAACAACATAGCAGAGATTCTGCTCTGCTATGTGTGGGCTTTGTTTTAGCGTCCTTCCTTTTGGGTCTTGCTTTGTGTGCGTGTGTCACTGTTCTTCTTTGTTGATGATGACTCTGACCAACTGCTGTTCCAACTGCTGTTCACCCCCCCCAGCCCTCCGATCTGCCGACGCACCCTAGGGGGGGGGGTAAAATGTAAGTAAGCACGTGCCAGGCCACAACTTACATTTTTAGACCCCCTAGGGGCCCACCCTAAATGTAACTTACTTTTTTGAGGTCCCCCCTCCCGGAAGTAGCTTAAGGGCGCAGGGATTATATATATATATATTGGATATTGTTTCTGGATATTTTTCGGTAAAGGATAAAACGCATTCCGTGAATTTCGGGTTTCATTAATATAGAATTTTGTCCCCTCGCAATTTTCCCTTTGTTGTGGCCAAGCCGAGGCACCAGATCATCACAAGTTCAGCAAATTCTCTCTGTGTTCCACATTGGAGAACTCGGGCTGAGTGAAACTCGTGCAACTCAATTTTTGGCAACCCCAACATCTTCAAAAAGGGAGCCAGCCTGGACTCGGTCGGAACTCTGGACTCTATGATTGCTCAAAAACAGTATACATATGTTTCAGTTCTAATAGCTTCTTGACTTCTTGTTTCTACTAGTAAGGCACTTTTTTCTACTAGTAAGGCACTTGCTACTAGTAGCGATGCACTTGTTACTACTAGCTTACAGTATACACTTGGTCTTCAGTTCTCTGGTTTACACATTTTGGAACACATGTAGCTTGATCTAGCTTGATCACATGTAAGTCCCAGTGAATCTCTTGCTCTCTTGAACTCCTGCCGTTGAAACCTACGGACCAGCACCCTCGTGAGCATCTTTTCAAGCCAAGGAACCTTGGACGGACCAGTTGGTTTGTCCAGTGCTTCAGTACCTCGCTGAAGGGCCGAGTCGAGGCAAGAAACACCAAAGCAAACGTCAGCTGGCTTACTCTCCGCAGGTCGGCAAGCAAGTCAAGCCTGTGGTTTCAAGGATTCTGACACTAATCAGGCTTCTTGCTTTTCATGCAAGTCACCAATCAGGTATCATACTCAGAATGCAATGCACAAATGCGATGAAATGCACCTGTTTGATTGACCCACATTCAGGCCACCACTCACGGCTTCTCGAGGCGTGGGCGCACTGGCTCGACTCAATTTTATCAGCTTCTCTTGCCTCACAACTTGTGTCATGCAAACAAGCATAGCATTATGGCCTCATAAGGCCATCTCTCAGGCACTGTGCAGGATTTGTCCTCTGTTCTTTAGGGTATGCTTGAAACAACTTGCGAATTGCAACCTCCGAACAAGAAGGCCAAACTCTGCCCATTGCGGCTCAGAAACCATGCTTTCATATCAAGCTCAACTCCACCTTCACGGCTTGTCAAATGTGTCTTCATCTCCTAGGAGAAGCGGGCAACGCTTCTGTAGATCCATCTTCAACCCAAGAAGCAAACGGTTTTGACCCTTGCCAGTAGTGGACCCATCGGCACAAACAAACTAACACTCAAAGCAAACGGACTAGTTTTTGCAACTGAAGCACATCCATCCACTTCAGCTTCCATCCGTTCTTTTTGCAAATGGACTTGACCCAGTCAGCCTGTTTCGCCCTGCCAGGATTGAAGAAGCGCAAAGAGTTCCAAACATAACATTCACACTGCTACATTGCGAGGCGCATGCACATGGCCTTTTTTGACACATGGCACAATAAAGACTACAGGCCAACAAAAAAACACAAATCCAATGACATCCTAAAAGCCGAGATCCCCAAGAGGACCACACGGTCGTGATTGCCGTGTTTAAATCGTGGCGTCCTGTGCCGCTCATTGACCACCAGGGTGTCCACGTGCTTCTTCAGGTCGACCTCCCCATGCAACTGAGCTTCCTGGTGCCGCCCGCATGCACACCCAAAACACAGCAGCGGCAGCTTGCTCCCAACATGCCAAAAACAATGTGAATATAAATGTATATAACTCATTAGAAATCATTCTCGATACAGCAGGGAATCACATGAACATCAACCAAAAGGTCCTTTCAAAAACATCTGCAGTGTCTTCCAGTAGTATACATAGGCCAGCTTCCTTGTTTTGAGTGGAACCTGCCTTGTCTCTCAACAAAGCCTGTCTCTCTCGGAGTCTCCTTGTACATCCCCCACTTGTCAATCACATCTTCGGAATTTCCAACCTTCTCATCGCCTTTCACATCGACGCACGAAGCTATCCAATGGACGCACGTCACGTGGATGGATCATCAATAGAGTGCAAACACATCAGCTGTGGATTTCTTTTCGGATCGACCTTAGAAATCTTAGAATCAAATCAGGCGGGTCTCCAGCTTCGTTGAGTCTACCCGCCTTTCTCTGCCACACGAATGGTCTCTTTGAGCTCCTAGAGTCATCGGATGGAACAAGCGGAATAGAAGCTAGAGCATCGGACAGAATTAACATTTTTGTATGTAAATGTAAGTTGATGGAATGCTGGGCAGAATAGTCCGAGACTAAACACAGAAACAGCTTTGAAGGCCCATGCGATAGCAAGCGGCAGTGATTTTTCCTTCCTCCACTGGGAGGTCAAAATTTGACCACACAGTCCACAGTGGGATATGGTCCTGGTGCCACCTTGGCGGAACTTAAAGTCCAACATGGTCAAACAAACAACCAGGCTCGGCAAATGCTCCTTGTCACTGTACCTTGGCTCGATCAAAACAAACACGTGCAATCAACACTTCCTCTCATAGGCACTGGTGGATGTGGGGATATATCAAAACAGGTTTCACCCTCATCGACCAGTGCCTCAGACGAACTGGCATCATTGACTCGACGGCCACAGGGCGTCGGCCCTTGGGCCATCCGTTCTCATCAGTTCCCATGTTTCTGCACTGCTTTGAGGCGACGAGAGCGAAGGAAGTCGGGTGGATTCCCCACAAAATCTTCGACCCACTGCCAAGCACTCGGTTGAGATCATATTCCTATAATGCTTGTGATGAACAAGTGCCCATGCCAGTAACGATTCCACGTAGCAGTTCTCAAGGGTTTTGCAATTCATAACTAAACAATACGAAGCATTCCTTATGCTTGTGCGTCAAACTCTTGATTCTTTGACCCACAGTGGTCAACATGCTAAGCTCACTGCTCGAGCAACACGTGGGCATAGTAGTCCAGCACTGCAAGCCTCGAACACAAAAGAATACTCACCCCAACTGACATGTTGCACGCAGCAAGAAATATCATAGCATGTAGTACTCGAAGCATGCCTCCCAAATGAAGGGGTTCACAACACTTTACCAAGTTAAATGCTAAGTTTTTCCACCGTATCAACTTTTTTTAATCATACTATACAGCAAGCACGCATTAAAAGTCTTGGTGCCAGGCCTAAGAGAAACACAAAGAGATCTAGGTGAAAAACAACATTCCCTGAATGCTTCATTACCCTGTGCGCCCATCGATTCTCGTCTACAGTCGGCGGCCTCCGTGCTGGCAAATTCGCGGAGTCTTGAGGTGACAACGTGCAACGCAGGCGCACATCCTTTAGGACAATGTAAGAATCTCCTTGGTGCTTTGGTCATCTTTGTGCTCAAGACATTTCTCAATGTTTTCCTCACAAAAACGAAGCAAACGGGACCAGGGGAGTCAAACTTGCATCCAGGCAGCCATATTGCTTGGCTCCAACAACTCCTCTATGATCATTCCAAATGTTTTGCACTCCGTACTTTGGCCTCTCAAACGCATGTGCGCCATCATAAGCCGTTCCAAAAAGGCCTCAGCAACAGTTCATGTGCCCATACCATGCATGACTTTGATGATCGATCATCTCAACCGTGTGCTAAAGATATATCTTCCTTCCACCCGTGCTTTCACTTTCCGCTGAGACTTGTCATTGGCTTTTCTCAAGAGAATCTGTCCTGGTCCTAATCATGATCACCTGATGAAGTTTTTCGTCGCTTTTGCCTTCTCTTCCGACTTTTCACCGTGGCACCTCGTTCCCACTTTTCACGGGCTGAGGTCTTCAAAAGCCCACCCGACGTGTTGGTCTCAAATTGGTTGCGGTAGTGGGAGTCCTGGCAGCTTGGCAAACTTTTGCGAAGGCTAAGCGCTCCCAACATAGGGGATGCAACCGACTTGGCGCCATCCAGGACTCGCGGAACATACACCAAGGGCTTGTAAGGGCACCATGGAGTTTTGATTTCTCTTCGGTTGTCCTCCACGAAGAATTTTCCCACCTGGCGGCATGATCAAGCCTCAAACCCCAAAACTAATGCTTCCAGGGGCAATAATCGACCTGGTCACGCTCGTAGGGAAACGGCCAAACGAACAAAAATGACAAATAACCTCGAATGACATTAGATCCCCTATTGACCTATTGGTGTCCTTCTTGAGCAGGCCCGTAGGGCCGCAGGGATATGAAGTTGCAGCACTGTACCATGTACTGGAACATGATAACATGATTGTGATGTTGAATTTCCTTGAGAACATGTTGGGCTTTGCAGTGGGATAGGTGTATCTGTATCTACGCTGCCGACCACCATGGCCTTGTCTAAGTTGATGTGTACAATGATGGGGGCCAGCTCCCGGATCCAAGCCAACACCATGTGGAGATCGGTGTCGGTGTACCCAAGCTTCTTCACACCTCACATGTGAGGTGTAAGCACCATGGCAGCACGGTCACAGCTGGCCGCCACCTGCTGTGCCAAGATGCGCTCTTGTAGCTGTGGTAGCGCTCGGATGTGATTCTCCTCCGCCAAATGCCGGATGTGGCGAATCGCAGCCTGGCGCGATTCGGCGATTCGCAGGCGATTCGAGTGAGTCCGGAGAAACGAAGCTTCAACACGCTACAAGTGCCCCCCAAAAATTATCTTCATATGGTGGTCAATCACTATTATTTCATGATGGAATGGCCATGGTTTGGACAGCATCCAAAGGGTTGTTGTATAAAACCCCTCACACGGACCTTTAGATCAACTCCCTGGTGGTGATGGTGGTGGATGGGGGTTCGCAAGCTGCGTGGCTATCATTTCTTTCTCAGCTGCTCTACAAACGATTATTCCATACAAGACCGACCAGATTGTGCCCGGTGGCCCACAGTGGTGGAAGAAAGGCTTTACAACCAGTTTCACTCCCAGAATAGAAGGTAGCCAGTTGACAAATAACCTTTATATCCAAATGGAGCCTTGGAAAGGGCAAAGCCAGAATGCCCAAGCTGCCATGGACGACACATAGATCTATATAATTACTTGAGCACACGCACACACACAGCACCCCCCATCATGGAATCAGTGGACAAAAGGCCCAAGTGTAAACGTGTGTGAACATAGTACAGCAGTTTGTCAGGATAACAAGCTTTGGCAGGAATCAAGAACAGTAGAACCAGTAGGACAGTGGGATTCTGTGATAAAGTAAGCTCAGGCTTCGTTCTAGTATGTGGTTGCACGATAGTCATGCTGAACCAGTGTGAAGCCAAATTGCATCACCTTGTCAAGAAGGATAAGTAGTGTTGCAGTAGGACTTGCGGAGGCTTTTTGTGATGTCCTTTTCTGCAACCTGGCCATGGAGAGTTCCCCCGCCTGTTGGCATGGGCGCATAGCTGCCGCACTATCCTCAGAAAGAACAAGTTGCCGGGTGCTCAATGTGTAGCCAATGAAAAAAGAACCTCCGTCGACACCTACAACTTAGTGTGATTTCCCATCAGAGTTTCGACAAGAAGTGTACGGTCTAGATATAGACCCCCAAAGAAATAGACAAGTACATCACCACAAACAAATGCATTGGAAACCGTGCCACTATCTACTTGGGGATCGCATGGGATCGCTGTACAAATGACCTTTCAATGGCACATGGCATGGAGGTCCGTCGCCTCGATCCCTGAGCTCTGCTCTTTCTTAAGGCCGTCACCAATTCGGACTCACTAGCTGTCAATCGCCAGTGAGCCTGAGCCTCTGGGGAAATGCCGCTTTCCTGACACATCCAATCTTATAGATCTTATAGCTGTTCTCTAGTGGGTCCCAAAAATGGATCAGAACGGTAGGCTTAAAAGGATTCACACGGATTCAATCGACCAAATGAGGCCCCGGGGTTCACATCCACTCCAACCAGGTAGCGTGCAAACCATGTGCAACTGGAACACGCCCCTGGTCGTAGGTGCTTGGCATGTCCATGTTCCATCGCCTGGTCGTCCTCACTATATAATTTTTCTCGGCAGCATGAGTTCCCGTGCCTGGAGCAGGATTCTCAAGCGCTCAGGGTCGTGGGCAGAGCCTGTGAAATCTGAACGCTCCTGCAATCCGGCGACACGGGAATCATAGCAAACCCCGCCCTCCAAAAAACCTTCATGTACAACTTCTGATCGAAAATATGGAGGCTGACACTGGCCCATTCCCACCTACTACTCGGTGACTTCCAGTCTATAGAGATTGCAAAGTTGTATTCGCAATTATTGGCAGGTCTGGATTTGCACATCTATATGGATGTATGGATGTGGTCCAAAAACTGACTAAATGAACATCCTCAGGCAAAACTGCACGGTTCAATTTGTGGATGTTCACAAAGGGTTCAAGGCTTTAAGCTATAACTGTAAGATGCTTCTGTTGTGCAACCCACATGCCGACCCAGCGACAAGCTTCAATCCCCATCTCGGCTGTGAACGTATGCAACCTCATTTGCCCGCACATGTATGCTGCGTCAATGCCTACAATATACTACATACACAGTATATCTATTCACTTGTTTGCTTAACTTGTTGGATCACCAGTATCTGTCCTGGATCTGCTTCCTCCTAACCTCGAAAAGCTTGCTGCTGCCGCCTGAGGATGGGTTCAACTGGTTCAAAGTCCAAATGGGACGAAGGCAAAGCAAACAACTGAATCCTTCACTGGTGGGAAGAGCATGGAAGAACTGCTTACTTTTATGTCCCCACTGGGGTGAGAGACAACTGCAGCCGAAGCCTAGCTTGCCAACATAGTGGAGGAACTCATCGAATGATACACATCCGTCTCCATCTTTGTCCTGCACGTTCCGAGGCGCCACCAACGTGTGGTAAATAATGTGACTCAAAAAAATCTTCCTGGTGATCTAAAAGTCTCAAACTTTCTGGGGATTGAAGAGACCCCAGTCCAGGACTTTGGTAATCTTGGCCACGTCATCTTGCGAATCAGGAAATCCCAAGTAGTCCAGCATGAACTGCACCTGCGCCAGGTTGGAACTGGGACAGTCTTGTGTGCAATTGTACATGGAGGAGACAACGGCCCCTGCATGCTACAAGGTCTACAAGATCCTAGTTACTGGTTTTGCCATATCGCCCGAAACGGGGCTGCCATCTCACCTCCAACAATTGTTGTCGATCCTGCAAATAGAGTCCACAAATTTATACAAGTTCTGATTGGCCACTGATCTGGTCAAATCAGTTGTGTATGCTGTCTGCCTGATCAGTGACAAGCCCAAACTCTCCAGATCAGTGCGGAAGCGCTGGTATTGGCCCGTATCTTGGGAGAGAACCGAACGTGCGGTCCGTCCTGAACATGCAAACGTCCTCGCCTCCTCGCAAGTATTGTAATATAGGATATATATATATATACATATATATATAGAGGTTCCCAACCAAATAAACTTAACACACTAATGTCAAGCCACCCTGGGTCCTGGATCAATTTGACCCCCAAAATCATCTGGTAGTCGTTTGTGGAAAACCCTCATCTCAGCTGAAGGTGCTCACAGGTGTCTTACTCTCTCTCTCTCTCTCTGCGGGGTTATCGTCTACGTTATTCTCTACTTCAGTGTCAGCACTGGTAATCTCGCTCAGGAACTTTTGCCGCTGATGCTGAAACAAGCGCACAACTTTTGAGGGCCGCTTTTGGCTTACACTCTGTGCAAGAATACTTCCGCTTTCCATGAAAACACATCTTTGCACCCCCGCAGGTGGCGCACTGGATTAGAAGCCTCTGATGGCAACAAAAGCTCAGATTATTGACATAGCCCTTCACTACATGTCCACCATCTAGCCTTTGCCAGCCGCACCGTTTCTTGAGTTTTCGCTGGCATTTGCTGTGACCTTCTTTGGGGCCAATCAGTGAACGTATCAAAGTCTTGGGATTCTCGAAATGCCAACTGCTCGTGATACGTCGGGAACACTCCAAACACCTCAAGGTTATGGCGGTGCCCTGAGAGACTGTTGGCAAAGCCTGGATCAGTGCAGAAATGTGCAGAAGACTCGTAGACCTTGCGCGAGAAGCCTGACCAGCGACGTTCCCTTTGGTCGCGCGACGCAGTCTTGGGCGAAACTGTCCTGTTCAGGGCTGGATGGCAGGACAACAGTCGCCGTAGTCGCTGCCACTGCTTCAGGACAGCTGTTCCCGGAGTTCTCGCACTCTTCGGTTTCTGGTCAAATCGTTGAATCAAAGAAAGCATGTAGGAGATGGCAGCTTACACCGCCCGGAATGTGCAAGAGTCTTGCAGGTCCAAATGTTTCAAAGCGCGAATCAGAATTTGTCGCACACGCCATTGAAGCTGCAATTTGTCCTGGCCGTCTTTAGCAGTTGTTTCGCAAGACTAGCTCCATGTTGTAAAATTGGTGGGCGTAACCAACTTGCACACTTCCGCACCAACCGACAAATGGCATCACCATCCAGGTTTGAATGGCTGAGCAAGTTGCCTAACAGCATCTCAGCCTCCACAACTAGTTGCAGCTGCTCTCCCTGACAAGCATTGTTGAAACGCAAGCTGTGACGTTCCAAGCGGCGAACCTGACTCTGGGAAGCCGATATACTTGAAATAATCACATGATCACCATTTGACTTACCAGTTCTCGCCGTCGGAATTGATACGTTCAGTCCTTTCTCACCGATATTCACTCTGCTATCCAAATTTGACATTCCAGAACCTTCCTCCTGTCCAAAGGGTTGCGGAAGAACGTCTACAGCGTCCAGATGGGCAACGTCCTTTTGCATTCTGAAGCGGACTTGTTGACCAACCCGCAGGAACACAAACGATTTTGAGAAGGGAATGTGTCTCGGAACGCTCGCAGGGGGTTGATGCTGCTGCACCCAATACCCCGCCACCATCGTAATTGAGCTGACACACGCGCCCCCTCAGAAAGGCCATCTGATCATTTCGAGCAAACCGGCACTAGTGCACCCAATCCAATATACAGGTCGGCGAAGCTTTGAATATCTTTGAGCCATGAGATGGGAACTGTAGTCCACACGAATAGTAATGTTTTTTTGTTCTATCTGCAAGTCTGCTGTAAGCTGCTTCGAGCCCGGAAAAGTGGTTACTTAATGTTATTTAAAATTTATATATCACCATTGTGATAATGCGCGGACAACATCCTTTTAAGTGCAGTTCTTTGGCCAGTGCTACACCGTGGTGATCCCTATCCGCACAAAAAGCGAGCGAAAAAAGCCCACGCCCGTGCCTCCGAGCCCGCAAGCTTTCCGCTGCCATCCGTGTCAAACCTGTCGACCCACCAGGTGTCCGGTGTCCATCGACGAAGGCCGATAGGAAATGAAGGCTGCGGATTGTGATATCAGCTTAGTTGTTTCAAGTTTCAGTGGTAGCTAATTGAACAAGTTATGGTGTGCTATCTTGGGCACCAGAATATCTCGGAAAACAGTATGGTTTTGATACGATGCGCAAACTTGCACGATCCGTTGTCTCAAGGACAGCTACAATTTGCCGCCAAGTCGCTTGTTGAAAGCAGCTGCAATCATCTTCTCCTCACTGTCCAGCTGCATGGTCAAAATGTCCAGGCCGTTCTGTGCCTGGCTGCGAAGCCGCATCAAACTAACTCCCACTTCAGCAAATGTTTTCCTTTTGAGGATGCACTGGAACATGGACGTCTGAAGTTTGAAGTGCCAATCTCCTTCTGGCCATTCTTCCAATTCCACTACAGGTCTTCCATGCACAGTATATGCACAGTACTATGCACAGTATATAGGCTTTTGCAAATTTCCATACTAAACTCGGCTTATTTGCGGATCTGGTCATCATGCAGGGTTTGGATTTAGAGGTCGGTTATTCAACGATCCGCCTAGAGGTCACCGGAGCTACTGCACCTCGTCAGCCTCACCCTTCATGATGGCTTTGCAGCACTCTTGCACAAAGTATGCCAGTTGGTGCTCCTGTGAAGGTCTCGAAGAACTTGCAAAAAGGAACTCTCCGAGAACTCCGATAACGTGTCCTCCTTCTGCAAGTACGGACGCTTCTGGAAGAGCTCTAACAACTTCTCCTGAAGACAACCCGCACCGCCCACACCGCCTGTTCCAGTTTCTTCATACGAAGGTAATCAGCGAAATGGTCCTGGTGTGCCTTGCACTCAGCTGCGACCCTCATGTTGGCAAGGTCCACCATCGAGGTGAAGGTCACTTCATTGGCATCCTCGAGCATTTAGACACTAATCTGTCAACTGAACACACACACAAATAACTGTATATATATATGTGTATATATATACAATAGGTACCATTCGGTCGGTATAAGTATACACATGGAAATATAACACTTTATAGAATGTATATAACTTTGGAGGCTTTTCTCACTATACATAAATGTTGCAATCTTGTCAATTTTTCTTAGTATTTTCTGGCCCATCCTGACCAGAGGGAGCTGCACAGCAGCCTCCTAAGGCCTCCCACGTCTTGCTAAGGAATTCCATGGCCGTGTGCCGTGCCACCAGTCGCAGGCTTGGGCTGATCGCAGCTTTGGAACAAATAACTTTGCGGTGCTCTCTGTAACTGCAAGTGGCACTATTCCATCAATGCTCTCTGAATTTCACACGACTCAGCGGCTGAGCTTTTCTGCGACTGCACGCCCGGCACGTAGTCTCTGTGTGTATTTGAAGCATCACGATCACTTTCTAATTGATTTTTGACCTGTATGGTGCACTTCAATGGGGGCACTAGATTGAAAGAATGGATGAGTGGATCAGTTACTAGCAAATGCCTATTCTGGCGCCGAATTTAGGCCCAGGTTAACTATCAGGTGCCGCATTTAGGCCCGGGGTGGCTGAGTTAGCCACTCCGCGAAAACCTCGCAAGCCACTTCGGCGAGCTTCATGGCCTGGCACAAGTCATGTTCATCTGAACACAAAACATAAACTCGTCGTAGGGCATGAAGTCTCTGCAATTTGGGGAAGCAATGGAAGCAACTGTCGTCTCGCCCACGCTAGAATAGCGAATAGCGCGGAGAACATGCTAAGCTAAGCCTAAGCACACGGCCTGGCAGTGACCCCCTGCCGGAGCAATGAAGGACAATGACAGAAACATTGGAAGGATGTCATTGTATCATAGCTGCGGCAGAAGTGCATGTCAATCTTGGATTTGGATATGTTCGGAATTGATGTGTGGATTTGATATCACTTCTCGCTCGGATTTAAATCTCAGTACCAGCTACATGTTGATCTCAAAGATTCCATTTTTCGAATCTCAACTAATGTCCGTAGCGCCCTGCCTTCCGCAACAGGTAAGCGTAGTGTACGCTGCCACCTCACGCATGTGCAGACTTCGCGGTCTTCAAGACCTCTTCAAGACCTTGAACAACCTATCCTTTCGACGCAATGGTCGACCATTTGTGGCCTGGGATCTTCACGGGGATCGGCACCTGCAAAGAATGGATCATTGAATAACATTTTGGTTTATCCTATTATCTGTACCAGTGGATGATGATGGTTAGCAAAGGCCTTGTTCAAAAATGATTATAATTGTTTACTGACTGTCACAGGCAATAGGACAAACCCTAGAATAAATTCTCCAATTTCAATCGTTCGAAGTGGTCTTGAAAAACATTGTTTGGCCAAACAGGCTCTGGCGGGACTTGATGTCTGCGTGGTATGCCGTACAATTTCAGAAGGCGTGGAGGCACTCCCATGCCTGCTTGATGGCAAAGTTCAGGCCTTTTCCCTTGAAGTATTCCGTCCTGTGGGAAACAACAATGTAGGCATTTGCAACTAGCGTGGTCCAAGGGGAGGAGCAAATCCGGCAAACCCAGTACTGGTACAGGGCAATCATGGCAGTCATTCAGAAAATTAACAGAATCTTCTGTGGTGCTATAATACGATGCACAGGACAAGTGCCGCTGCTTGTGTCATGATTGTCATGGATTCAAGCTTGTGATGAAAACCAAAAATCTTGCACGCCTGGTGTTTGGAACGCCGTAACTTACGCAAAGAAACCTGCCGTGACACAGCCAAAGGTGAGAGGTCTCTTGGTCCGTTGCTGCAACAAATTGCTTTCAGTCTGGTCATTCCTCAAGCAACTAGCATGAGGCTTAGTATGAAAATATGTAAGTTCAGCATTCATCTTGTCGGAACCGAATGGAGTTTGAGCAATTGTATGTTGATGTATGCTGAACCACTGAACCTCCTTGAAATGAATATGAATGATGCGTTCTCCGCTGCAGGTCCTTTTTTCCAGAGCGGCGCTTGGGCTCAGGGTCTGTGACTCTGGCGGACATTCCCGGAATGTGTGCACGAGGACATGTGGATACCGAACATGTAGCCATGCTATCAATGCGGCCGTGGTGTCCCAATTGACCTAAATGAATGCAAACAAATCCATCATAATCCATCTTGTTACTTGTTCGTATTTCCAGGATTGTCCAGCTCAAAGGAATCCAGCACAGGTGTCAAGCTGCAAGAGCCTCTCACGTATTCCATGGCCAGAGGTCTCTGAAGGAGTCCCTGTCAGGATCCTTGGATGCAGTGCAGCCCGGGTTTAGTTCCAGTCTGTGGCTGCATCTCACAGACTGGTCATGTGAATGCCAAGGAGCACAAGGGCGCCCAAGAGAAAACCTGGGCAGGAAAAGTACTTGAGGGCATTTGGCCCCAAGAGGGATACAAAGTAAGAACCAAGTAAGCTCTTGAACTTGCTCTTGCCATCTGCTGCCTTGCCTTGAAAGATTCGTATATATATATATAACGAGAAACCCGTTGAGTTCTACCTGTGCCAAGGTCTGCCAAATGAAGTCCCAAGGAACTCAAGAGTGCTTTGATGTCTTGCCGCGCTTGGCATCCAGCATATCGTCCGAGAAAGTCCTGTGGGCATCGACTTGTATCCGTCGAAGTGACCTCAAACAATGGAGCATCCCGGGCATCTCAAATGGCAACAACGTTGCCGTGTCCCCCTGAAAAATGTGTTCTATCGAATAGTGTCCTTTATACTGTCTACTGGCTATCTGCAACTCTAGGCCTCTAGGCCCCTTCTTCAGGGCACCTGCAGCTGCCGGAAATTTGTAGAAACTACATGCCGCACTTGTACAGTACAAGATTCGGCTACTACGTTGCCGAAGCTCTTGCAACCAAGTTCACACTCAAACACAGGCAAAGAATGGGCTTGGTGGTGCAAAGGAAACACACACACACACATACATAACAGTGCATAATGTATATACATATATATATATACATATATGTATATATATATATATATGAGAGCGCATGTTGGGATCATTCTTCGGTGCATTCGTGAAGTTTGGAGGCCTCCGTGTGTATGGAATCTGCGTGTTATGGTGTATTTGGTGATTATTGGATGTTATTAGCATTGAGGTAACCAGTAGGACTGATTTCGTTGATCTTCGCCTGACAATCTGAAAAGCCTGGTCAACGAATGCTCAGCAGGACAAATGAAGCGGCCCAACCCAAAAAATACCAAAGCCAGTCGAAGACGGCCACCATTGTGCCAAGTTGCAATGCCCAAGTTGTGAAGTGTGCAAAGCAAAAGGCCGGCCAGCATCATGGTAAGTAAACCTGTCCGTTTCAAACATCGGTGAACACGTCGGTGTTGTGATTGATCAAATGGGTATTGAGATAGCATACTATTCCCCTGACAGTCGAAGTATGTCGAAATCACTTGCTCTTCATCGTTTTGCCACTGAAAAATCCATCTCAAAAGCTGTCAATGTTGCAGCCATGGCTCACAACACGCCAGTGGCGTAAGCCTAACACAGGCAAGAAGGGAACATTGCTCTACCACCTCCTGCACAAACACCTACAAATTCACAGCTTGTTGACAACTATGTTAACACTCTTCGACCAAGTGAGCAGGGATCGTTACTTCATCTGATGCGGGCTGAGGAACTCCTTGACTCTGTGTTGCTAGCCTCAAGATTGCAAAATGCAATGTGATTCAATTCACCTTGTTCTGGACCCAAAGATAACCCAGAAATCTATATATAGGCTCAAGATGACTCACGAATCGGGGCGCCATCTTAAACTCTCGACAAAACCTAGCTTTTGCCTCTTTCGGGCAAGTCTCTGCCCACGAATGTCAGAAGAATGACTGTTCATCACCGACCTTGGACGAAGAAAAGGGCGACGGACACAGCGTCTACAGGGCGTCTTTGAACTCATAAGCATTCATAAGCAACAGCAAACAGCAACTATGTAACCTGCAGACTTCTTTGTGCTTTTGGTGTGAGTATGTCCTACTGTATCCAGCGCACAATTCTGGCAAATCGTACTTCTTGGGAATAAGACGTGGGCGGAGATGAGAGATGGAACTGAATGGAAAATGGAAGGGAGCTGAAAGCGATTGGTTCCGCTGAAAGCTCCCTATACACCTGACCTGCTTGGACAGAAAAGCTGCGGCCATAAATCCTTGCGTGCGCATGGACTCACTAGTCAATCACCCGACCCTAGCCTTACAAAAGCCTTTCAGCATTTCTGCACACGAGAAAAAGAGGCAACACTTCAACTTCAGGGTGGGCGCACGTGCCGCGAGGTCTGAGGATTCTCTGAACCTGTGGCATCTCGTCCACGCTCACAGCGATCAAACGGACATGACGTGCGGGTTCGCCCGTGGCGACACATGGAGAAACCGCCACCCAGCATGGCTAGGTTGAGAGGTTAATCTAGTCAGTCCTTTCTAGCAACACTAATAGCACTGAGGTCGCTTACAGTAGGGCTTCATTATACAGGTCAAAAAACAGGATCTTTCCTCGTGGTCTGCTGCTGCACTCTCCTGCAGCATAAATCAATCCCACCACGGAAACGTAAAGAACTCATGGAAGGGGCTGTATGTTTGCTTCAGGGGTGCGTACATCACTCTTTGCCGATGCTTCTGCATCTCAAAACAGCAAGAAATTTGGTTCCTTGGGTCAAGGTTCTGGGCCTCCAATAAGTACTTGTTGATGACCTCAGAGGCATTATCACCTCAGTATGGGCGTTGATTCGATCCTTGCACTCTGTACAGTTGTTGAAGAGATCAAGCGAGCCAACAACACAAAACAAGCCAAAATCAACAACAAACAAGATGCACTTAGAGAAAATTGAGAAATCACCACTTCCTCAAGCCCTTGGTGTTCTTGCATGCTTGTGTATGCCGCTTGTTTGATTGCTACTTGGCCATGCACCGCAAGCGAATGTATCAAGAACACTCTTGTCGATGACGGTGTCGAAACTGCTCTCTGACAAACCTGTTGCCGTAACCCCCAACAACCGCTTTTGCACCACACAATCACTCCACAACAGGCTTGGGAAACGCAATTCTCAAGAAGCGGCTGCTAGCGGCTAGCAGTCTTGACCCAAGAAGACCACCGGACATCGTGACACGATTTGAACCGGGTTTGTTCCTTACTACGAGCCATGTAAGTGTGGAGACTTTCTTGATCTGCAGTTGCGCAGTTTCTTCATTTGAGATGCTGAACTCTCGCCTGTAGAGGTGGCATCCATTTCGAGCCTTGAGACTTGAGAGCGTCCCGTGCTGGAGCTGGTAGGGTAACAAAGGAGCACGGAGCAAGGCTCGCTATGTCCGAGTCACACACCCATCTTCACATCATCTTTGGGGGTCACTGGCTTACTCTACAAACTCATGGACCGTGATGGATCCTGTGTAGTGTGTAGTGCCGCTACCACTGGTGTTGATTAGCAGCGATCCAACACCAGTCTGAGCGTTCCGGGCCACTTCAGTTCGGGCCGCATGTCCTTGTTCCTGGCATGTGCGTGACTGGTCTGAATATTGAAAACGGCGGAACCATGGGTCTTCAGGATTGCATGAAGGTCTTGATCTATTGTGAACTACTTCTGAATGTGCTCTCCTCTGTGGGCGATGAATATCCAACGGAATCCAACCCATTCGTGCACTTGGTGCACTTGACTGAAACACTGTTCGAACAACAGAACACTTTACCTTACTTTACTTCAAGTGATCCCCCACTATGGCATTTCGAGGATCTGGCGCTCGTGGTTTAGGTCCGGTGGTGCCCACTGCGATCTGCCACTGGTGGTTCGGTCCGGTGGTATCGCTCTCTGGAGCTGGAAGGGAGGCAAAGGAGGAGAATCAAAAGGTGAAGGAGGGAGAAGAAAAGGGAAGGAGGAGGCGGTGGAAGCAACTTTGATAAAGTCTAACAACCCTCAAATGGCAGGTGGGGAACAAGGGAAGCCTGTTGAAATCCTGGAAGTGAGACGGCTGACCTCGCGGCCATCTGTTGCACACAAACCTGCAGTCAGCTCATTTTTGCTCTCCCTCTCGTCATGACAGACTCGTCTTGTTTTAGCTCTTGCATGTCGGCCTCTGCATTGTCAATGTTTGTAATGTCCTTATAGCCATGGTCATACCTTAGAGATGGTTGAATGGACAGCAACGTGGCATTGGCAACCTCTGTCACCTAGAAGGCAACTTACAAAAACCATGCTGACAGGTCTGCACAGCGACCGGGCACATTTTCAACTTCATACACTGCTGGTACTGGAAGGAAGTACAGTACCCAGTGCGAGGAGGGCCCTCAAGATCCTTCAAGGCAGTCTCGGATTTAGCGAAACCTTGGCTTCTGGCATTGCTTCGGGCAGCAACGAGTTGCCGCATCCCATGTGCAGGATCGAAGCATCTAATCTACCAGAGGTGGCCTGGCAAAGGACTTACGTTCCACATCAAACATAGCCAAAACCACAAATCCACAGGCTTTCAAAACAAGGCATCTGCCGTTTAGATGCATTTAGGGTCATCCGAAGAACACCGCTGCTCTGCCATCATCCCATTGTGAAACTGGGTCGCAGAAACCCCTGCCCTGGCCCAAAACATGTCCAGCCCACATTCCATGGAGTTCAAAAATCGGGGAACTGTTGCAAGCAATCAAATAACCAACACAACCATTGGCACATACATCTAACATCATATAAGAGCCTCACCATGGCACCAACACATCGATGCTCGAGGACATCGATGCTCGGGCATCATCGCATCATCTTCGGATGGTGATGATACGGCCACTGGCGAAATGGCCTCCTTGATGAGGCTTTCAAGCTCTGCAAAGCTCTCAAGCCACTCGAAAGGAGAAGGATCACTGCGATACCTCCAGGGGTAGTTAGGTAGGGTGACTACACACCTACCCCAAACGGGCTTTCTAAATAGGAACTGCCATGTGGAACATGCCAGCTCATGCTGATCTAGCGATTGGTTGGAGCAGCAAATGCTGGTGTGCACAGGTATAGGAGTATAAGAGCATCAGTGTATGGGCCTAACAAATGAGAACATTACTTTCACCCAGTTGGACCTATCCTTTGAAGCCAATTGTTGGACTCGTGAAAAATCCCACCAAAGTGCTACAGCAGCAGCTGGCACCTTTTGTTCCAGTAGCCTCTCCCATCACCGTAGCCTGGCGCCTCAGCTCCGGCGTTGTTTGACGAGAGCTGACTCGACAGCTGATGCTCTGAGACTTGAGCTGCTTCGACTTCCTTGTTTGGTTCTGCACCTCCAACGTATGAAACTTTGGGTATCAGGCACGGCTTGAACATACATACTCAAAAATAGGATACCTCCTGAACCTCTACCTCTCCAAAATATTGTAATATATATATATATGTGTTTTTATGTGTTATGTTATTCTATACCCGGGACACAAACAGGTATGACATAGTATGACCAGGTCAACTGCTTTGTTTCCTCTTTCTGCAGCATTCTGGACCTGAAAAAGCATCCAAACTAGAACCCAAGAACATGAAGGACACGTAGGTTTCTTCGAGAAACTGAAAAAACTGAACTGAAAGAAACATGTAACGAACATCTATTAATCAAAAGCGAGCGCAGTGAACATAATATGTAATTTCAAACACTTCTGGCCGGCAACATTTCTGGCCACGACAAACATGCCACAAAGGCCATTGGTCTGAGTGTCAATCGCCATGGATGCCTCCAAGGGATTCGATGAGAGAGCCACAAAGGGCCCCCCTCAAACTTTGGAGGGCACAAGTCCAGTTTGACCCAGTATAGGTGCTTGAGAGTGCTTGCCACTGCACCAATCCTAGCCAGTGAGCAAGCCACCTGGGGAGCACAATTGACCGACGCGCCGGGTGGAACCACACGCTGGAGCCAATGGCTCCTTCATCCGCCCACGACCTACTGACGGCAATGGCCGCCAGCGGGCCACTGTCAATGACGAAATCACCAGCCGAATCACAAAAATAAACACATATAAACATGTTGTGTATATATATAATATATAATCATATCGATATATATATATATATGTATGTTTTATCATGTTTTCATTATCTGCCAAGTAATAGATACAACAAAGAAACATATAACCCTCCTCGAGCAGCAAAAGCCATACATACACATAAACGATATTAAACGATCATGTTTTGTCTCATTCATTGGGGCCTAGTCACCGGTTTACACAAATGTCAGTGAGAGGCTGGAAAAAAGCGAGGGCAAGTGCCGCGCCAGAAATACGATGAAGTACGGCAGTGGTCGACTTACCGGCGACATCTTGGTCTCTCTGAAATCATGCCAGTACTCAATGGGTTTCAATGGCTTCTCATAGTAAGCCATATGGCTTATTCAATGGGTTTCACCATTGGTTTCGCCGGATCCTTCGATCCCTGGAGCCGAACTGTTCACATACGCCGCGCGTAAACATACGCCGAACTCCGTTCACATCTGCGACGGCAGCGGCGTTTTTCGGCATGGTGAGGAGCTCACTCTGGTGAACAAGGCCATATATATTTGTTTGCCTTCTGGTTCAATACTGCATGAAGCAGGTGAGGGAAAAAGCGTGAAATCTTACGGTACAGTGGGTACAGTAAAACAACACGGTGAAGCTCCCAGTCTTGCTGCGATGATTTGTTTGGATTAGAGTGACCAGTGACTCTCGACGCAAACATGCCCATCCCAGCACCCTTCTTTGGCAAACCTTTTCTGCAGCGCACATGAGAAGCAGGGCCTCAACACATGAGACCCCACAAACGTCCAAGATGTGGTGAGAAGCAGCTTGTTTCAAACAGGACCTGCAAGCTACACTGCCTATACAGCTCCTAGCTCGACCCAGTTGCGTCCAGGCTAGCCATGACCTTGCAAGAGATGCTGAACAGCTTGCTCTCTAGTTCAGAAGGTTTCTTATGGTTTCTTGCCTTTGCAGTGGCTGGAGCACGCAAAACAGCCTCCTCACAGGTTGCAAACGGTCACAGTATCCAAGTGAATCTCCCCAACCTTCGTTGGTCTCCATGCATGACATGTGGAGACCCAACGCAATTTCAATCCTCGTTCTTGAAAAGCTCCCGAAGTCTTTCCAAATCCTCAACCTGGCGCATTGTTACAAGTATCAAATAGTATAAGTCTGCAAGGAACCAAACACTACTTAATGGCGCAACTCATTCAGCAACACCACACTTCACACTGCAAACCAACTTGATACTGCTTCTTCTATGACGTTGTTGTGCGTCCACCTTTGGATTTGCAGTTCAACTCAACTCAACTCTGTCAAGTTGCCTCATCTATGTCCCACCATCGCGGTAACCTAGGCACGATCCGACATTCACCCTGTCATTCTTGGCGTCTCCTTGCCAAGGCCGGCACACTGCAACTCGCATGCCTCTCCTGAGCTGCTTGGGGGGAGGGCCCAGTGCTATTCCAGAGGTGAACACCTGGGAAGCACGCCAGGCCCCACTCAGAGCGCACTTGTTCACGATCACATCTGAATAGGGCTCTTATGGATATAGAATCTCTCACACTTCCATGTTTTTCTTCACTTCTTCTTTCGGAGTCTTCACCGTGCCAACCCAAGCATTCGACCCCCGGGTCCCAGTCTTCACCGTGTTTCATCGTACCTGTCCGCGATGCCCGTCGATTCGGCCCGACTCCGGACCGAGCCACTCTTCCAGGCGCGCTTTGGTGGCTTCGAAGGTGCTTGGCCTCATATGCTGACATAAGATCTCACCATGTCCCTTCTTGATTCTAGCCCGTAATGCCGGCAAACGCATGTGCTTCCTGTGTCCTCTTACGCCACTTTATACTTTGCTATAGCAGCTGCTTTCCGGGATGAACGACCAGCGAACTGCCCAATGCAGTGCTGAGGAGCAAACTGACTCCATGGCAATTCCTAGGTGAAAAGGAGATCGAACCTGTCTTCATCCGGCATACTTATAGATGACATAAAAATACATAAAACATAATTACATAATGTAATTAACCAACATGTGCACCCATTGAAGCTTCTTTCGAGCACCCAGGCTGCAAGCAAACCTTCAGGGCATCGCTTCAGGGCGAGCACATCATACCTCCCGTGGTCGTTTCGAGGGTCGCATGACCAAGCTCCGCCGATCGAGCCGAGGGTCGCGGGTGGAGCACCCGCCATCCTCTGTCGGTCCCAGCCTCCGTGACGCAGGGCAACTGGGGAATTGGGACGCGAACACGGTTGGGACATTCGGAAAAGCATCGTTTTTGCGTTAAGTGTGCGAAAAGGACTGCCAAGATCTGCCAAGCCTTGCAACTATCTGAACAACTGCGACCAGAATCCTTGGGCCCTGGCACTGCATCAAAGCCATCCTGCAAAGCTTGCCTCCCAGGAAGATGCATGAGAAAAGCCACGTTTCGGAGTCATGAGTCAACTTGTGTCAATTTGGCAATCATGCCAAGAACCTTGTTGCTTCGAGCCGTTCTGCTGGCCGCCCAGGACCTCAGCGTTAAGTTAAAACGTGAAGGCTGTAACAGTAGTTGTACCGGATTGTAGCAGTTGTTGCATGATGACATGCTTCTTCTCCTGTTTATCAACTTATCAGTATCATTCTTCGGTTCTGAGATCTTCAAGGTTTCAAGGGAGTTGGATGATGTTGGATGTGCATCTCCGTCACGGCCTGTAATTTCGTGCATTGATCGATGATGACATGACTCTCCAAAAAGTGATTTCATGCTTCCAATACGGAGACCGATTCAGACCACTTCATGCCTTTGCCCCAAGCTGTCCGGGCCAAGGTCCAAGCTGTCAGCGCCCAAACAAATCGTGGCCTTGGCGCGGAGGGCGCCGGAAGGACTTCACGCAGGGCACCACGAAACACATGGTGGGCCCCAAGTCACATAGCACAGGCTCCGTTGATCAACATATCAGTGCATTGGCCAGTTGTGGCTGGTGTTGCTCTCCCGCCAACAAGTGCGCACTGCAAAAGGCTGCTTTGCTCCTTGATGTTGCTTGGTTCAAACTCAAGAAAAATTGGAACACCTCAGCTTAAGCTGCAATTTTGGAAGGAGGTAGGCACGGTCTGAGCTGGAAAAATAGTTCTTTATTGGTCGAGACGGGTGGCAGCATCTCTACGACCAGTGCTCTGCGAGCTGCGAATGCTGACTCTGATCTGGGACATCGGCCTCCGCGAGCTCCAAGCCATGTCGCACTATCCCCTTCCAAGTGCTGCTCAACAAAAGAGACAAACACGATTAGAGTAGTTTCAGAGTAGATGGCGCAAACCCCAAGAGGTCTTTCAAATGGGGTCCATATTAACCTTTGGGGGACCGTGCCATCTGAAACCACTATACAAGCGAGATTCTTGGCCGCGCGACCTGTGACGCAAAAGCACCCACCAGCTTTGGCCAAACTGATATACATGTCCTGTCCCCACGCCTCCATCTTTGCCCCCAAATCTCCGTCGGGTTGTTTCCACCCTCACAAGTCACAGTGCTTCTGACGAATCCGCAAAAGCACTGCCGCTAAGCTGGCGGCTTGGCACGTCGTCAGGTTGCCTGTTGGTCAGTCGAATTGCTGCTACACCCGGCTGAGCAACGGGGGATAGGGGACACACGGCAGGTCAGGTGTTTGTATTTCTTGACTAGTGTTTTTGGGGGCTCCGAAATCCTCACCTGGGTATGCCTGTGGGCCCCTCTCTACTCCACGCCTACCTCCTCTATACAGCGAGAGGGCCCCAAAAGGGAGCGGCACACAAACAAACGCAATCTCGACAGATAGATAGATAGATAGATAGATAAAGAGGTTACAATACTATATACTATAGACATGTGAATATATGAGTACCTGAGAAAGGGGGGACGAAAGCCAGCTGCCGCTTCATTACGGCAAGCCGGAAAAACGTTCGGTGCGTGTGGACGCCGCGAGAAGCATCCACTCGACCGAGGACATGGTGCAAGTATAGTATATATATACTAGGGGGGCACGAGCCCTATGCGGATATGTAGTCAACCCCGCAGGCATCCCCACCGAAGCTCAGTCCAAATTCATGGACTTGAACTCATGTCACTTTCGGTTCTCTATGGATTTGGCGAGTTGCAGGTTGCCCTACGTTCTCCACTCAAGTCCTCTATGCCCATTGCCCAATTAGTCTACAAAGCCCTTCATGATGCTAATGATGCACTACTTGGCGTCCACTACATCACTCGCATCACCAGACCCCATTTACATTGCTTTTCGGACCCTCGCTTTGGAGCGCTCTCCCCCACCAAGCTCTAAGTTCATCCGTTCATCCTATCAAAAGGTTCCGCTCAGCGACCACCCCACCCCCACACCCCCTTAACTCACTTCGTTCGCCCTAGAAGCTCGAGCCTTGCCTATCGGCTGGCTTTTGTTAGTATATAGAATTTATCTGTCTATCTATCTGCGCCGGCAAGCCGGAAAAACGTTCGGTGCGTGTGGACGCCGCGAGAAGCATCCACTCGACCGAGGACATGGTGCAAGTATAGTATATATATACTAGGGGGGCACGAGCCCTATGCGGATATGTAGTCAACCCCGCAGGCATCCCCACCGAAGCTCAGTCCAAATTCATGGACTTGAACTCATGTCACTTTCGGTTCTCTATGGATTTGGCGAGTTGCAGGTTGCCCTACGTTCTCCACTCGAGTCCTCTATGCCCATTGCCCAAAATAGCCTCCAAAGCCCTTCATGATGTTAATGATGCACTACTCGGCGTCCATTACATGACTCGCATCACCAGACCCCATTTTCAATGCTTTTCGGACCCTCGCTTTGGAGCCCTCTCCCCCCCCCACCAAGCTCTGGGTTCACCCTATCAAAAGGTCCTGCTCAGCGTCCACCCCACCCCGACACCCCCTTAGCTCACTTCGTTCGCCCTAAAAACTCAAGCCTAGCCTATCGGCTGGCTTTCGTTATATATTATAAATATATATAATCCCCACCCCTAAGGGGGGGGGGACCTGTCTAAATGTAAGCTACATTTTTTGCAACTTTGGGCTTAAAAAATGTAAGTTACATTTTCTTAGGGGCACATTAAAAAATGTAAGTTACATTTTTTGAATAAATGTAAGC